CCCTTGTCAAATATTGGGGGATATATCCCCCATCCCCCCGGGATCTACGCCTATGGTATGTTTTATGCCATTAATCTTCAGCTTTGTAACAATTGTTTGGTGGAACGGTTGTTTCTCAATTCCCAAAATTGAGATCGGCTCTTTGAAGTTGTACAAGTATACCGTCGGCTTCTAAAACTCTATAAAACGAAACACAATAACAATTTTAGATAACTGTTTTAATAAAACGATTATTAGAAGATTGTAGATTAATAGGTATATTTTAGCAAGTATAATAATGTATTTTGATTATAAAAATATGATTTCTAGTTTCCTAGTATACAACTATTCACATGGTTCGCTTTAATTACATACATTATGTTAAATAGCATACATTTTGTAAACTGGATTTAAACTTCATCTCACCGTCAACAACTCTCTATATGCACAAATATTATATTTTCAAAAACAAACCAATTCAAAAACATTTGCTTGCTTGGATATATCATAGCAAAATGTTAAATGACCTGAGAAAATCTGAAACTTAACAGAAGAACCGTATTTATGTATTTATCTTTTAGGATTAAAATTATTATAATTGCTATTATCACAAGCATTGTTATAGACATAATGACACAAAAATAATACTTTCGTTGTTTTTAAGATGATAAATAGTTATTTCAGAAAACCGTTTTCATGGGTATTCTTAACTAAATCCTTTTAATTATTGTTCGGTTACTTTACCAAATTGCTTTGAAGCAAATTTTCAGATCCTAAAGTCTCACTGCATTGCATGATATACAATACGCCATTTCGTAGTCTGAACTGCGCATGCCTATATCAAGGTGAACGACATAAACATACACTAGATACACATAACATAGGTTTATGTGGATTGACCTTTAATACGGGCATGCGCAGTTCAGACTACGAAATATTTTATTAATTTGTATTAAACACCTCTATCAATAATATACAAAAGATAGTAATAAATAATTCTGGAGACTGGTGTCCACCAGCCTATGGCGATTTTGCTTGAAAATGATCCGAGAAAAAAGACAAAATCAAGATGATGTTTAAAATAACGAACTGTTCTCTTCCATTACTGCAGCAGATCGTTTTGTTTTTAATTCCAACACCTTTCTTCATTGGTCCTATTGACACGCCTAACTTTATTATGTTTTTATACCAAATATTTTACAGATGGTTGCATGTTCAACTTAAATACAAAATATCAAGTTTTTATAAAATGTTGAAAATGTTGCAGCAGCATATTATGTCAAGAGCCCTCTACGTTTGGATTTTGTAACAATAATAGAGTTTTATGACGGTTTCTAACCAAATTTGCAATATACACAACATCCAAGGTAGCTTCAATGCTACTTTTTCTCGAGCTCTAAGTATATATTAAAACCATAAGTGTTTCGCAATAATCATCGGAATTATAACGCTAAATATCAATAGACTACATGACACAATAATGCTTACTAATCATCAGTACCGACCAAATTAGCTCGAATGTGTTGCTGTCAATTTCAGTCGTAGCTGTCATGAGCTACGATTGGAATGCCCAATATAAGTCCCACGGAATGATAAATAAAACAGCATTTACAAAACGTGAACAATTATTGAACGGCGTGATTATTATATATGACATGTGTTAATGTATTTTTTAATATTTTAGGAAGTTCAAATAGATATTGACAATTCAATAAAAAATGTTCACTGCGGTCTCCAACCCTTGGCAAATTTCATTACTTTAGCAGCATCAATTTCTGACATTCCTAAATCTGATTTTAGCATTTCCTTATTCAAGTCACACAACATGTCACCGTCAATTTTGTGTGTTTTAAAAGTTTCTATGTACTTCTCCAAATTGAGCAATCGCATACAATCACTGATTTGTGCAACATTAACACCCTTTAGATCGTGTGGTACCTCACGCATATTTCGTAGTTCACTACTGCTGTTGTTGAGATTCCGAAATTTTGGTTTTGGTTGAGTTTGAGGGCCAATTCTTGGTGTATAATTAATAGTCGGAGTAGAAAACTGTCGTTTTGTTAACGTACCTCCATGTGTAAATTTCGGTGGGTTACTAAATGAGAGTCCATCACTTTGTCTACGTGGTGAGTACCCGTTATTGAAAGGTGAACTGTTCAGTCCATTCATTTTTAATAGGAGATCGGGTCGTGAGTTCCGGCGGTCTGTTGCAATCTTCAACTCTGCCATAAGATCTCCTGTCTGACTTTGAGGTTTAGGTTTAGGACTCGGTGCCACAGGTTTCAGCTTCACCAGTTGACTCGAGAATTGATTTTGAGGAAGTGGTTCTGGTTCGGAGCGAGTGAATGAACGCTGTGGAGATTGTTGAGCCGAGTTAAAACCAATAGGCGGTGGAGGCGGTGCCGCTGGCGGTTGAAAGCCAAGATCCCGGAATGCAGGTGGCGGAGGGGGTGAAGGTGGGTCAAGGTTGTATGAATTGTTTGCGTAAATATGATGCGGGTACATTTCCACTTCTGCATTCATGTAATCTGTCTGATCTTCTGGAAATTGATGTACAATAGCGCCAACTATGTGTTGGTTAGAGGAAATATTGATTATATCTGATTGATTTTGCCAGTTATTGTTAAATGGCTGTTGGTTATAACGAGTTGTTGCTCTTGGTGTTGTGCCATAGGCAAACATTGCCCGTTGTTGTTCCATCTCCTGCCTTTTGTAGTCGGGCACCGGAATATCAACAGGCATATTTTTTCTTAAAGTGGCGTAGAATTCCGTTCCTTCAGCAGGTCCAACGTGCCTAGGATCTTTTACAGTTTCGATTTGTGAACTATTTTTAACTTCTGGACTAGGTTCAATTCGGGTTTCAGGACGGGATTCATTTCGCACGTCCGTTCGAACATCCCCTGATGAGGTTGAAGAGTATGAAGAAATTGAGGGCGTGCCCCCTTTCTTGAGTATAGATTTAGGTGTGGTTGATGTAGCGTTGTCTTTATTTGATGTTGGTGTTTTCTGTACCTCTGTGTTCTGGGAAGTCGTTTGGTTGTTCGCGTCTTTTACACTTTTCTCCTGCTTTGGTTTAGCTTTGCTTTGATTGTTAGTCGTCGTCTTTGCTTGTGATTGCGCGGATTCAGCTGATTTGGGAGGAGCTGTCTTCTCTGGTGGTGTCAGAGCTTTCACAGTTTTCTTGGCCGGTGTGTTATGATTCTTCGTCCCATCGAAAGCTAGAGGACTTCCAGTCTTGTTGACTTTTTGTGGTGGTTCTTTACTTTTAGACACCGATAAATCAGAGTTACTGTCGCTTGACTTAGGAGCTTGCTGTTTCTCTCTGGCTGGCTGTGATTTCGAACGTTTTTCTGCCGTTGGCTTCTCTGTAGATTTTGCCGCTTTTCTTCCTCTACCATTCTGAGGCGTCGATTCCTTACTTTTTTCCTGAATAGGCTTGCGACCACTGACAACATTCTTCGACGCTTGATCGTTTTCAGGTTGTTTTTCTATAACTGATTGCCTTTTCTTCTTTTTACGTCCCGTCAATGTTCCCAGCAACCAACCAGAAAAAGATCCTTTCTCTGAACCGCTGTCTTTCTTATTTTTACGATTTTTCTGTTTACTTAACTCAGTATCTTTCAATATGTCACCGGTAGACACCGCCTTCTTTAAACGTTCGTCTCTCTGCATCGCATTTACATACTTTTTTGATCCTCGCACACCGAGACTTCTGGGTTTCTCTTCTGCTAATTGGTCAACTGATTTTGAGCGGGTTCGTGCTGGACCAACTGTTTTAGATGTAGGGCTACCGGCAACTGGTGCTCTTCGTTTTAATTTTGTCTCTACGTAGAGAATAGCTGCTGGTGATGAACGCTCAATATCTTTCTGTGTGTTGTTTTTCTCAAGTCGTTTGTCAGTGAAAAAGGAAATTTCTGAAAAAAAAAATGAATAACACAATGACAGACAAAATGTAAGTTAGTTTAATTTAGTTTGGCAATAAAAGGTCAATCATTGATAATTTAATATATAATTCAGATAGAATAGAATAGAATAAAACACAGGTTACCCATTTATACTCATAGATAGTGGCAAATTGAATCAGGTATCTGACCAAAAGCATGAATTACTTGACTGTAGGCCTAATCAGAATCGAACCTCACTCACTTACTCACTACTGTGTCACTTGACATCCCAATCTTACACATTAATACCACAAACACCATTCACCAAAATAAATTGTAATAAACTATAATGTAAAAACTTACATAATTCAAATAAATCACTTTAGATTATACATTTTTAAAGAAAATTTAACCAGTATACTGTCTAGAAATTTGCTCTTTTGGCACTCCATACACGACTGAGAATTGAATAGTTGAAAAATGTGATTTGAGAACATCTCAAAGCCACAAACTACAGACTAATCTTTATAGAATTGTTCAATATAACATTCAAATTATTTGTCTTGCATAAATGTTGACAATAACGTTTATGACTGCTTTAATAATGGGAAGTTTGATAGACTATGTAATGGGTGTTTGATTTGGTTTAATCAGGGAACAGTTCTCTGGTTTAATAGCTTACACAGATCCGACCTCCAATATTGCGGTATGAAATAAGAACATTCAGGACAAGTAGTCATAACTAAATATATTAATCATCGACTCCATAATTAGCAACGGTAAAGGTGTGGTAGACGACTACTAGACAACAATTCACGATGCAGGACAACACGTTTCTCTAATTAATTTGATCCATACTTACATATAACTTAATTAGATTTAATGCCCAGTGTAATAATAATATTACGTTTATTCTTCTACTAAACCTCTGCATTAGAAATTTAAGTATATCAATTGCTTACGATTATTTCCGGAGTTCAGTTTGAATGTGACGTGTTTGGTGACGAGCCTCTCAAGGAGATTTGTATACCTGTCCCAAGTTGCAATCGGACTGTCTCTAAAACATTCAGCAACAACAACCTCCACCTTGGCATGAACTGGTAGGTTGATCACCATGGTGTCGAGTAAATCTGCACGAAAATATTGATATTATATCACTTATAATGAAGGCTATGTATTTTTGCATCAGCAGCAGCATCGGTATTATCACTAGTTGCCCTTGTAACTGTGTTTTGTTTCTTGATTCTTTGTTCTTGGTGCGGTTGTATTTAGTTAAGAATGTGCTTTTGATTGTCCTGCCTGTTTTTCTGTATTTTTAGAGTTTATACTACCGTATATTTTTTATGTTCATCCTGTAAGTGGCGATTTTTTGCTGTTGGTTTGAAAATAAATAAAATAAAAAATAAAACTATAAATAACCAGCAGCAGCATCAACATTAGTAGTAATTATGGTAACAGGGGCAAAAGTAGCAATAGAAGCTCTAATAGGTTTTATGTTGCTGCTGTTACTGTTATTTTTGCTTTTGTTATTGATGTGTGCTGATAGATTATACTGATGAAGATGATGATGAAGGTGGTAATAATACTAATAGTATTTATGCCTATACAGCTCAATGATTTTCATAATAATAATGATGATGATGATGGCGATGATGACTGATAGAGATGATTATAATGGTGATAATTATGATTATAAATAATAGGAAGGAGCAAAGAAAGGTTAATATAGCAACACTGATAATAAAAGATATACATATAACAATGAAAATATTTAAGTGATGACAGGTTCAGTGTTGAATGGTAATGGAAGTACTATGATTTTCAAAGGACGATTTTGAAAAAAAAAACCTAGATATCCAGTGACAGATACAAATGGAAATCTGTTTAATGATATTTGTCAATGTTTTTGTGCAGTATCCGTATACTACTATTATAAAAGCATATGTAACTTACTTTGGTTGATTGCATTTCCTTGAATGAAACTTTCTTCGTACATTGTCCTTAGTAACAAGGAGTTGAACTTTTCCTCGACGGTAATAGTATTAGCGTACTGTAGTCGGAATCGTGGATCGTCGTCGACGGCAAACCGCACCTCTCGTGGTAGTAGCGACTTGTCGATAATTTCCCGGAGATACATCGGTTTCGATTCTTTTCAAAATAAAAAATGAGATAAAGAATATTGAAAGGGTTGTGATTACATTCATTAATCTTTCATTAGAATTTGCCTAATAATAATTCAACTGTAAATAAAAAAGATTTGTGGCCAAATAAGTGATTTTCACCATAATTTCCTTACAAGGTCTATAGCATAACTAACCATACGAATAGATAAGTTTATAAATTAAGTGATATGCATATACAGAAGAAGATTGAGGGTTCGAATCCCGGTTTATTTTCAAACTCTTAGATTCCTCTTCTTTACCTTTTAAAATGTATATTATATACAGTAAGATATAAATATTAACAGAGATGATGTATTATTCATCTACATAGGCCTATAAATAATTATATAGAAAGGAGATTAAATTAATGTTACAACTTACTTTTTCCGTTATTGATAATTTCAAATCGTGCACTTCCATATCGTATTGGTATACTAATGTGGTTTCCCTTCCGATCACTAGCAAGTACGCGCGTCTGTCGACAAAGCTGGTGAATTCGCAAAACCTGACGAAAAAAAGGGCGCCTAAGTTACCTCATATGAACTTGGATAGGCCTAGGCCTACACATCAAACATTTGAGTAATGGGTGAGATGATATTGCTATTGCAAATACTACTACTACTACTTATATACTATAATCATAATCATAGTCTTAATTATTAATATCATCATAATAACATTAATATTTTGTATATGTTCAGGGGACCGTTTACAGGATGATATTAGTAAACACTTGTTGCTATGATTCCAATACAGAATTCAGTAGACCGTTGAAAAACTACTGTATGTACAGTATTTGCATTGAACCGATATTTTCATTTAGACATGTTCAATACCTTGAAATCCAATTGTCATTGAGATCAATCTTGGCTTATATACCAATGTCAGCTAGATTGTTAATAGAAATAACTCAAAATCGACACAAATTAGAAGCTATTGTTACATTCAAAGGCATATGGGCAGCAATTTACTCTATCCTTTTTGACAAGTTGATGCACACTGCCCTTTCCCTACGCGGCCCCAATCACTTTAAACAATATTATTATGAAGAGTTAAAATAAAATAATCTGCATTGATAAATTGTAGTTACTATTTTGTTTTCGAGATCAACTTCATCAAATCTCACTGGGTAAGGAGTAGTATTGATTCACACATGTTGGCACTGTTAAACAAACCCGTTTCTTCATTTGAGAAAGATAGAAACGTACTTGTATGACTATGAAAATAATATATAGTATCGATGGTGTAGAGTCACTGTTTTTTTTATCAGTTGACGTCAGAGGAGTGCACTGTATAACCACAACCCCTCTACCAAGGACAGGGTTCGCACAAGGGTTAGGCCTATTTGCATTTGGTTGGTTGGCTTTTTATTCATTATAATAACAGGAAACTGGTCGTACGCTAAAACCAATGGACTGGTTTTGTTCATTCACCACATTAGAAGTGAATTTGGCTGGTCCGCTCAAAGATCTAATTAGAAACAATGGATTAGTTTCTCTTTATGGCTAGGACCGGTGGAACAGAAAATTCTGTCATGTCAAAATATTGTTTTCGATTTTTGGCCTATCTGTTATTGGGACGGCCACCCTGTTACACTGCTCCTTTTTAGAACTAATACTATTTATGAAGTGATGTCGAGTGAGAGTGTGGAAGATGAAGCAGCTAGCTCAATTGTGACTGCTCATAATAGGCTACAAGATGAAAATTGATCAATAGGCCTACTGGTCTAGTATTTTATGGTGTATGTAATGTACATACTCTAAGTATCTGCACTAATTTAAGTTCGTATCCATTACTTCGAGTACGAGTTACGCAGTTACGCATTGTGGACTAGACGTGGTGCGCCGATTAGCTCATACTTAAATGATTAGGGTAAAAAGATGATACACTGAGTTTTATAAGAACCAGTAAAATTTTGCCGAGGTTAAGTGTTTTTTTGTTTATTTTTAGGCCAATTGCAGGTTAAAAATGTTCTTATTTTGTGCTTATTTTACACACTTTTCAAAGATAGAAAAGTATTATTGTAGCAGTATATTACTGTACGGTATTTATAGAGGATATCATAGGCTCAATATAATCTTTTCAAACATCAATACTTTACTGTATGTGACTAGCTTGCTTTGTTGGCTATAAGATTAATTTAATAATCTTTACAGATACTAGTCATCTTTACAAAACAATAGGTCTCTGCGAGATTATGCCTACCTGTCCAGCTGTAAGGTTCTCGTTCTCCTCCGGAGAGTAAGAGCCGGCGGTTACCTTGAGGATTTGTGGAAATGTGTATTTTTTTAGAACGTCCTTCAGAGTATATGACTGTCTGGACCACTTGATATCCTCTACCTTCGACATTGTATATCCCGTACGGCAGGTTGTGACTTCTTTATCTAATAATGACACAAAATAATATAAGATTATATATTGTTGTTGTACAGTAAACTTGGGTCTATGGCAGATTCGTCGACATGTATTATGCCGACCATTTTCATGATATTCCAATTCTGACCAAATACTGGAGTAAGATGGCAAACGCTAATTTGTCACACTCTACCTCTAATAATGAATTTACAAACCTGTAAATACATTACTGTATGTGACCACTAAAGGCCACGTCTTTCAAACGATGATTTCAACAGAGTGATTGTGTGGCTTCGGTAGGCACACTGGTGAGAATATAGCAACATTCAGAATATTGCAAATGTACTCTTATGAACGGGTGTATACAGTAACTGAAATGACGTGAGAATCAAAGCTCAAGTATTTGCATTACTTTCCGCCACATTTATTTTGATCATTCATCCGACCAGACAGTATACCATAGCTTTTGTTATTGCTCAAGCAACCCAACCAGCATTATCATTGAAACTGCTAAGCAAAATATGCAGAGGAATTATTATGAATCCTCGTATACTGTATAGCTATGGAGAGCATGGGAGAAGGAAACAGTTTTAAAATATCATCCTTCGTCTTTAAAAGGACAGCATTAATTCACTCCTTTATGAGCCAATCACGTAGACCTAACACTGGACAAGTCGTAATACTCTGTACAATGTATTGACCGATTTTCTCATGTCATGCTACCAGTTAATATTAATAGTGATTGAAAACAAGTTTTACAAGAGCTAATATTTGACGTTTAAAATACCATATGGGCTATACACCGCATCGATTATTATTAATTTCATACTCTTATCAATTTATAAGTTACGTTAACATAAGGTTGACTGTTTATTGGTTTCCATATTGATTCATAATTCACTGTGACCATATACTGTACATTTTTTAAATAATAATGAAAGCAAAAATGATGTTCTCAGATACCGGTATGGTAAATACTTATCCTACTGTAGACCTATACTATATTTATTTCTATATAACACAGGTAGAATATTAGTATCCAATGGTCAAAATTTTCCTACTGGTATTTTGAGGGGCTGATCTGCCTCAAAACATACTAGTAAGCAGTAGTATTTGTACTATACTTTATATATATATATATATATATATATACATATATACAAGTGTATATATATATATAGTGTATAAATTATAAAATATTTAATACAGTATATATTGAATGAGAAACACAATTGGTTTTCAATAATCTAATACAGGTGTAATGTCCTTTCAATCGATTAGTTTTAAATTCTTGTTTATACTGTGTAGTAATTCACATTTGATATATTTATCAATGTAAGGGAACACACAGATGTTCTGAGATTAATAGTATTATTATGAAATATAATGACCGGCTGGAAATAAATATGAAATTGTGAACTAATATGATACCTTACGGAAGTAGATATTTGACCTTTAGACTTGAGATCAGAATTGCGAATTCAGATTCAAAATATTTAACATTGCATTACACGAGGCATTCAGAATTTGGAGAATAGCCGACTCTCGCCTTGTAACTAGGGAAACAGAGGCCGGTACATATTAAAAGTTCACTACTTTAGTTCATATGTTTCTGTATGAGCAGGCCTACATAATACATAAGAAATTAATTAGTTTTTTTATGTTAGCATATCACATATTAATTTGATTGCTTTTACATAACAATGATTGAAGCTATTTGCTAAATATTTAATCATGTTCGTAGATGAGACACAGAAAAAAGTCGTTCTAATTGTTAAAGTGAAAAAAAAAACACTCTTAACGACAAGCATTAATGCTCACATGTACACTGATGATTCTGATTAATTTTACTATTATAGTATTCGGACATTAAAATTTTAAAGGAACACTTAAGTGAACCTTGTGAATTTGAGATTTAGGCGTATCTGCCATACTGTACCTTCAATAACTTAGTGTGCGGAATATGCATCGCACACCAATATACTCTGTAGATTCGTTTCCGATTATTTCTAGTGTAAGAACAATGCAAACATGATCAACAGTGGCACTAAATAATGAAACCGTTTTTATATTCTACAGAGTCACTATGACAATGAAGTGCATTGTGGATAATTTTTCACTGAAGAATTACACATAAAAAAGTGACTAGACTAATTTAGTAGAGCGAATTCGTGTTGGTGAGGTAAATGTATACACTAGAACATGGTACTGTAGCACTGAATTGACATACATAAATTATTTATTACTCTAGCTTTCGGCATAAACAATGCATTGCGCATAAACAAGCAGTCGATAAAATGCTAATTAATATTCCATTTTTATATATCTCATTTTATTCTATTTTATTCATAGCTATTAATATACTATTTTCTCGAAAAATTCAATCTAGTTTCATGTAGAGCCTAATATTATGTGAGCATTTGTAATTACTCCCTGTAAAGAATTCTGAAATGTGCAGCCTAATTAATTCAATGTCGCAACATCAAACTCAGTAATCTTGTGGAAAGAGGGACAAACCCAGCTAACAGCACAACGTTATAAAAACATTATCATAACGTTACAGTTTGGTGATAAAAACGTTATTTTGATAGAACCATATGTACGTACTTATAACCTAATTTCACAACGTTTGAACGTCTTTAAGACGGTGTGTAAACGTTATTTTGTGACATACGGTACCAAACCACAACGTTCTCGAACGTTATAAGAACGTTTTGTGTTTGCTGGGAACATAGGTAATGTTCAGGGAGGGTCCAAACACATATTTCAAGGTTGAAATCTGAATCGTAACTATTTTGGCAAACGCTCCCATCGTTGATATTCCCTGCCATAACAACGTATCTTGTCGTTTATTGTTGCATATTTTCGAAAAACGGTGTAGAATGACTAATACAGTATACCTATTTTTATACGTAACTGTGAACGATCATTGTGCAAAAAAAATTCTGTGACCATTCATATTAATTATGGTTACAGTGACTTCGACGTTTATAATGATTCTTTTATGAATCACTACAAAGAATGAACATCCCAAGTTCGTAACCCACCGTGAGAATTTCACTAGGACTACTGTGTTATTTTAAGGAAATGTTCTAGAAATAAATAGAACATTGTTAGCTTGCGTTTAGTATAGTAAAATAATACCATGGAATAGGTTATTTGAAAAACATCACATAGTAGTTACACACGTATGTGATAAATACTAGCACTACTGTGTATGATTCCATAACACCATGAGAAAGAATGAGTAATACCATGACAATTAAAAATACTGTTCCTCTGGAACGCCGTGGAGGATGTATTTCGGAGATTGCGTCTTGTCCGTTCAACATGCTTAAAAGAGAACTAGCAAAATGATTTTCTTTTTTGTTCTAGAGGGGATTTTTCAATAATAATGTCTCTTCATTTAAACATGCTTTTTTTACGATTTTTTTTCAGTTGTATAATGCTAAATTTGATTACTTCACGTTCGAAACATAATACAGCTTTGTTAAGCTCACAAATTGTCCGTAAGGTCAAAACTAGTTCAATAACTTGGCTGAATTCGATTGTTTCTTTAGTGAAGTCGTTAGTAGCACAATACTGAATGTACAAAATCTATTTTTTCACTCTAACTGTATCGAAGGCCACATGCATTGTTGATTATTGAGGTAAACTGTCTAACAAATTAAAATATGCAATCACAATATTTTTTATTTAAACAAAACTTTATTTTCGGGTGAAAAAACCCATTGATCAAAATCGCAAAAAAAAAAATAAATAAATAAATAAATAAAATAAATCAAAATTGATACGGATTAAAGATTAAAGGGAGCCTTTACTTACACAAATCCCAAAAGGTATTTATGAGGCGCTTATTTTCCAGAATTTGTATTAAAATGCTGTCAAGATACTGTACATAGGTTACAAACGTTAAATAAAGCATATTTAAGATAACCCATGTAAGTTTGCAGTAGATTTTAAGTAAATTAACTATCCTGACACAACCGATGTATTCAATTAGTTCCTTATAGAACATGAATTCATATTATATATATATACATATATACATATATATATATAGATATACTGCATATACATATATATACATATATATCTTATTTTTTGTTTTATTATTAGAACACACTGTGTGTGTGTGGGTGTGTGTGTGTGTGTCAGAAACGTTAAATAAAGCATATTTAAGAGAGCTATCACAGTCGCGGATTTATGATTTTTAAAAAATAATGAGAAAAATAATAATAATTATAATCAAATTTAAGTCTGAGAGTGCCAATTCCCACCCTTTGGAGGGACCATAGTCATAAACTTTTTTCCTCAGCTCTAATCAGGTGAGTAGGCCTATCTTGGAAGTCCCTCCCTGGGAGGTTAAACTTATAGAAGAGTTGGTAGAGTAACTGATCGGTATGAAGAGAGTCGTTTGTCCCGATGAGGTACATAAACATGAGGTACATAAACAAAAAAAAAAAAAATAATAGTGTCATCTTATAAGCGCACGTATCCATCTCTTGGTAGAGCTGCTCACGACGCCGTTTTCCACCTCCAGAGTGTACATGTAGCCTTTTCTGCATTATTATTTTGAATTAATTAACTTTATTTTAATTATTTATTTATTTTTTATTTTATGTACATTTATTTTATGACAGAACTGACATGGATGGGAAGATAGGCAAAGTAAGATGCAAATATACTCTTCGGGGTCACCATCCATCACCACCCTGGCGCATTCCCGGACCTCTGCCTAGGTGGCTCGAACAAAGGAAAAACAAAATCGATTCACAAGCATTCATCAAAGTGTAAATATCAGTTGTTATCGCATCATTGTCAACATTTTCGGTGTCTTATTTTAACATAAATTAAACGACATCTTATTATATATATATATATATATATATTGATATGTTAATTATGCTCATTACAATACTACTACATATATAAATGTAGCAGGTATGGCCTACAGCTACCTATTGTATCGCTCTAATAGAAAAATTATACTAGAATGCCTATTATCGATTTGTTAACATAGGCCTACAGTATTTAATGACATTTGTGCAACCATGTCTCTATACAAACGGACACGTTATATCCTTCACTGAACCCACTAAATTTAGAATTAAGGAAATATAATAATAGAGATGGAATGCAATGAAGGCGCAATTGATTCATTGCGGTGAACATAAAATGTATGCTCAAGCGGGAATTCTCTCGACTGTGATACTTCATTGTAGGCGGTAGGCCTATTCATGTATTCAGCTTTGGACTTTGCTTATATACAGTATAAATAAATAAATATATATATATATATATTATATATATATATATTCTGTATATATATATATATATTCACACTCGCAGATTTTTCTTCTTTAATGTTCAAAATTTATATATAGGCCTAATGTCACACCAAACAAATACAGCTTTGAGTTGTAGACATAACATGAACCAATTCAATTAATTAAATCACAACTGCAGTACTTCCTCATAGGTCAAGGACAACTAAAAGAAATATATTAAGCAACATTATAGAATGAAATGAATGGAAATATAATAATGTACATACATACTGTACTGTACAGGTATGTAAAAACCGTACAGTATACGTAATATACAGTATATGTGAAAAGTATTATTATTATTAGTATTTTTATTATTATTATTATTATTATTATTATTATTATTATTATTATTATTATCAGTATTATTATTATCAGTATTATTATTATTGTTGTTGTTGTTGTTGTTGTTATTATTATTATTATTATTATTATTATTATTATTATTATTATTATTATTATTTTATTGCAAAGACAGAAGATCACACCATTTTTAAAAAGCAAAACTAGCAACGCATATTCAATGATTGCCCTAACATGTTTTGTTGGAGTTAAACAGATAACGATGTAATTAGGCCTATGCAAATTTTATACTCATCTGATAATAGAAAAGTTAGAAAATAAACTCTAATATCTCAAATGAAGTAATTATGTTCTGATAGTCCTAGCACCACATGTAGTTTGCTTGATTATTGGTTAATCTTTTTTATATCCGGTCCACCGAAGTTTGGTTTCCATCTATTCAAACTATAATAATTAAATAAAAATAACATACCTTAAATGATGATCAATTATTATACTTTCAACAAAATCCTATTTGAAAGTACATCTTTATGTGGGCCGAGTACTTCAGTCTTTATTTGATCATTTTCCATGTATAAAAATCCATGTCTCACCGTCTGAATGGGCGACTGTCAACGTTCTTTAGTGAGTCACGGGAACAATATGGCTACGTAAATTGTTTCTTATGCAAATCTTGGATTTATTGTTGGTGAATCTTTTTGGGTGCAGCCGAGTGGGACGTGGAACAATACAGGTGTATTGAAGCAGCTCAAAAGGGGTTACCTCTACAGGACTAACTATTTACAAGCTAAATACACTGGTGTCCATGTTTAAACGTGTTGCAGTGAGAAAAGACACCAGACGCCAACAACAAATATTATATTTAAACAATTTCGATAAATAAACAAACAAAAGGCAATATCATACAATAAATTTATAAATCAATTATAAATTATGTACCTCAATATATGTATTCAGATGGATAATGATCTTTGAAAGTTCATTATACAAGGCGTGGAATTGTGTAAATTTAGATATGTTGCTCTGGACCAAGCCCACATATTAGTACAACGATTTTTGACATAGCAATCGTGTTAATGTCTAGCACCTACACTCTCTGTGGTTAAACTCTCCTCTTAAAATAATTGTCATTTAGTAAAACAAGTACTGTATTAACTGAAGAAAAATCGTAGTTATGGGAAGACGTTACTAAGGCCTAACAGTACAATTGTCGTTATTTGCTGGATTTTCCTTGATTTTGGGGCTATTCGTTATAGAAATTATGGATTTGAGTTTGACGTTTATGGATGAAGAAAAATACAAATCAAGATTATGTTTTTCTATTTAATATTGTATTTTTTTTAATTAATAAATTCTTGTTGATAGCACTGAGCAAGACCGGGCAGAGGGCGCTTCTATAGAAACCTCCGGAACCATTGTATAAGGTATATCCGCAACGAACTAAATTATAGAATTCATAGCTAATAATGTACCCATCAATATTGAATTTTCCAGATCTCAACACACAAAATTGTATCCTTAAAAAACAAAATAATGAAAATATGGACCAATAATAACATCACAGACTTGTACATAATTGCCTTTGTGAATCACATTTAAATTGAAATTTTAAGTTATTACGTAAAAAATAAAACCATTTGTTGCACAAATCAGACCGACCTAAAGATTTAAAAATTTGCTTTGTTTCTTATGGTGCTCTCACGGCTGGGCTAAACTCTTATTGCAGGGGCGGATGCAGGAATTTGAAATAGAGGCCCAAAGAGGGCTTTCACAGATGAAGGATCTATACTACCCTCAACCCCACCATGGTTGGGGCTGAAAATTTATGATTATGGTACCTCTAGATGGCCAGAAATGGCACTCTTAGACTCAAAATTTCAGTAAAATTTCTTTTTTGCTCATTTTTCTTTTAATTTTGATAAATTCAGGACGGGGGGGGGGGGCTGCTGAACCCTCTTGAATCCACCACTGATTACAAAACCATTAAACAGCTTCATTATTATTACATATCTTCAACTGAATTTTTTATCTTGTCTTTCTTAGGCCGCCTCATAAATGTAAGACTCCTCTAATGTATTTTCAGTATCCGCCATAGCACACTCCCACGGCCTTCGGTTTATCCACAGTTTACAGTAATTAATATGTTCCAACATTATAATTATATTAGTTGGTCATTTTATATTTCTCAATCGTATGAGGATATAACATAGCCTAAAGAAAAATTGACGAAGAAACAATGAATGAGTTTATTATTTAATTTATTATTCCAAATATGCATAATTATTATAGTACTGGAAATCATCATCATTATCACCGCCATCATCATCATCATCATCATCATCATCATTATTATCATAATTATTATCATTCATCATCGTCATAATCAAGGCAATGTACAGTATAAGCTGAATTATAAATAATAATAGTAGTAATAATAATAATAATAATAATAATAATAATAATAATAATAATAACAGCAACAACATAGCCATTAAACAATAACAACGACAACAACAATAATACAAATTATCTACGTCGTGTACCACGAGCATTAAATATATAATAATAATAATAATAATAATAATAATAATTAAAATAATAATAATAATACATATATTGTAGTTCTATTATAGCCTTATATTGTATAACTAATTTGCATAGCGATTTAAGTCAATATTATATCAATATTAAATATTATTAAATGAGGCACATATATGAAGGATATGCGCTAAATTAGTTATTATAAAAAGACTAATTAATTCTAATGTCATCGAAAACTAACAAAAATGTAAAACACAATAGAATACAAAAACGATAATCTGATTATAAAAAAATACTATACAGTTTTCAAAAATATAAACATAGAGACGACATAATACAGTAATATAAAATTACAAGCATACTATTATATTACGTTTTAAAATTAATATTAAATACATAACAAAGAAGCAAGCTATAATATACTATCAACCTGCCAAAATTGACAAATTAAATATTAATACAAACTTATAAGCAAGCACGCGAAGAAACGAAATACGTACCAAATAAAGTAATTATATTAAAAATAAGAAATATTCCATAGTACATATAGACTAGTGCAATTATGAAAGCAGGGAGTTGTTATCTAAATAACAACTCCATGATGAAAAATGATGAAAGTAAGTAATATGACAAACGTAATTAATAATAAGATGATAAGCATGACGAGTATAGATTTAGGGAAAACATATTATGTTGATATTTATTGTACAATAGGCCCATATAGGGTTCAAAATCTTTCAAGGCAAAATGCTGCAAGCTTATTTGCATCTTGCGCGTTCATACCAATCTTAGTCTCAAATTCTGTCGTTCGCATGGCTTTCAATTTTGTTCCATCTATCCCTTCAATAGCAACGGTTGGTGAATAGGAGCCTAACTTTAAAATAGTTAACATATCTATAACCTGATTTACATTCATTGCCTCCAAAGATTTGGGAAGGTCCTGGATCTTCGATATCCGCTTTTCTTTCTTTATTTTTCCTTTCGTTTTCTCTTTCTTTTTCTTCATTTTCACCTTCTTTCCCTTTTCGTTTAACTCATATTCAGTAGTAGGTGTAAATACGCCTTCGTTACTTGTTTGACTGTTTGATGTATCTACCTTAAACGCTTCTTTATTCATCTTCATTAAGCCTGAACTTTTAAAAAGACCCGGGAATATAGGCCTATCATCTTCTGCTGCTGCCGATTGTTTGTTATGATATCTTTCTGGGTCAGAAGTGTAATCTTCATCGTCGCCTTGCAGCGCTTCTTTCTTATCATATTTAAACCTATGTGGTACACTGGTTCTTCTGCTAGCCTTTTTATAAAACAATTTTTTATCAGTTGCCTTAGAGACTAAAGTTGTCGAAGAAGATGTCGATGACGATCGCGATCGATGAGGAAGCGTGGAATTCGAACTACTACTACTATTTGTATTTTCTAGTTTGTTTTCATAATTTTCAAGACAGTTATGAACCTTAGAATCGGACATCAATACAAAATTATCTTGCATATACATCGGTCTGGGGCTACTAAAATGCTTTGGAATGTATCCAGCGGAATAAGATTCGTCTTTGTCAGCATTTTCTTTCCACGAACCATCAATAAGAGTTTTCAAATTTGGAATGCTTAATTCCTTTTCGGTTGTAGTATTGTCTGCAAAGTCATGAACACTGTTTGAATCGCAAACCTGTATCGATAGAGTTTTATCAGGCATTATAGTGCTCTCGATGTTCAGGTTTGTGTTATCTTTCCGTGGATAATATAACGGAATGTCTGAAAGATAATTGTTTCAATTTTACTCAATTGAATCATGATATTGTTTACAAAAAAAAAAAAAAAAATCATGTTCTTCTATAAAAAAAAAAACAAAAGCAAAAAAAAAAACAAAAACAAAAACAAAAAAAACAACGTTACAAAGGGCACATTTTTATCGTCTGCTGTCATAGCATATTTATGTTAATATCACATCAGTGTTTCTTATTGTTAATGGAATTTTATAAAATACGCTATACATTAGGAGGCCCATACTTACTTTGGTTCCCTGGAGCACCTTCATAGTTGATTTCAGATTCGACGATAGCGTCTAGGCTTTCACACAGTGATTTAAACGTGCTTTGATCTTTGGCTCCTAATATCCCCTCTGCTTTAGAGAATTCTAACTTAAGATATGCTGGAATATCTATTATCGCATAATCGAGAACGCCTGTAAGCAAATTAGAGACAGAATTCAAGATAGGCGTTAACACTGTTAAAATATATATAAATTATCAAAAAAAGGATAAATACAATGTTCGGATAAAGGACATGATAATACATCGTGTAGCATAGCTCGCAGCGAATGTTGTCTTATAAGTAAAGAAATTGTGTAATAAAATGCCTTTGACAGGATTCGAACCTGAATAATAGAACTGTAATAATGTTTCCTGACGTTATTTGAATGTGTTCAACCATGGTCCAACCATGCATCCTCTGTGGTCTAATGGTTAATACGCTCGCTCGCCTTGACAGCGACAGAGGTCGCAGGTTCGAATCCCGTCAGAGGCATATAT